TATTTACTTAGATATCTGTCTAAAGTTTTGCTTCACAATTATGGTTTCAGAATCTATTATTATGTGATTTTCCTTATTTTTAAAAAATGTAATTGGTAAAAGAGTTTTTAAAATGATTATAAGTAGTGAATAAGAGAATCTAATTTAAGAAAAAAGGTTATTACTTTTTCAACGAAAATGCAGCAGAAACCCCTTTTCATAAAAATACTATGACAGAGTATTGAATCACTGAGGTTCCTTCTATCTTTTTCTATATTATGACTAGACAACTACATGCAAATGAAAATGGAAGCATTGAATTGAATAATTTTTTGAAAAATAATAAATTTCTTGTCCTTTGTGAACAGGGAGAAGTAGGAGACCAAGGAGATATTGGGAAAATTGGTGAAATAGTAAGTATATTTTGTGCTTTTCATGTTTTAAGTTATTAGTATTTTTAGAATCACATTAACCTACATTTGTTGGTTATAATCATGTTAGCAAGAATCAAAATAAATTTTATTCATTGAAACTTTAAATTTATTTATAATGTTTCTATTGACAAACAGAATAAAAGAGAAAGAGGAAAACCCAGTTGATTATAATTTCATACAACATACATTATATTTGTGATCTCAGGAGCAATCTTCTAATATTTAGTTTTTAATTTTAGTTCTAATAATTTGAATATAAATTTGATCTTGACAGTTTTCATTATTAAAAAGCTTATACATTTTTCTTAAGATTTAAAAGGTTGGAATAAATAATTATGTAATTAACTGGAAAGTATAATTTGTTTCTTCAAATTTAGTTTATGTTGCTTAAATTTCAGATGTTGTGTATATTATATTTGATTCAGGTCTATTGAAAATAATTTTCTATAATAAGGATATACAGCTAAAATAGTCTCTTAACAAGTAGACTTACATACCATGTATGGAATAATAGATTAGTCCAAAAGAATTTATTTGTAGTATGCCAGTTTGTCATAAAGCAAGTGATCTAATTCAAAAACATAAATGAGCGAATTCCCTGCACCCTATATTATGACTTAAATAGATAAAATTTCTACAAAAGTATTTTGTGAATTTAGGTAATTAAACAATTATCAATCCTGGTTTGTACTAAACATGTTCTGGTATTCTTACTTTTTCCATTAATTATTAATAAAAATAAAGGATGGCCTTGTGTTAAAAGATCACTGCTATTCCCAGTAAATCCTGCCTCACTAGGAGGTAACCCCTTTTTACTGTTTTTGCTGAAGAAAGGCATTTCAAGCAAGTGCTTAGATCAGATTATTCAACGGTTCCAAACATAATTATAACTTACATTTTCTCTAAGGTCACTCAAAAAAGTTAAGTTTTGGAATTTTTGAGTGTCACATTGCTTAGAAGATACACATACAAATTAAAGTCAGTGTCCAAAGTTAAAACACCAGCGAAGAACATCTTTTCGTAAAATGACATCTTATGTATTAAGCCATTAAGTGTCCTTCAATCATGCCACTCTACTTGCACATAGTGTAAGACTCATTGTCACTGTTGTCCAAAGACATGGACCGTCAGGATTTTTGTAACTGGAGGGAAAGCAACATTTATTTACTGATCATTTGTTATGTTCCAGACATGCTCAGTGATATTTAATTGAATTCTCAAGCAGTTTTAAAAGATACATTTTGTTACTCCAGCTTTTAAAATAGGGAAACTGGAGCTGGTGAGATAGCTTAGTTGAATAAGTGCTTGCCTGGTAAGTGCAAGGGCCTGAGTTCAATCTTTGGTTCTGAAAAAAAAAAAAAAAAAAAAAAAAAAAAAAAAAAGAGGTTGGGAACAGTGTATAAGAAGCCACCACTTTGAAGTTACATAGCTAGCAAATTGCTGGGCTGAAGTATAAGCCCAGAGTTTGAAATTAAAATTCCAGATCTTTATTACACCATGCTAGAATACTTCAACATTTGTTGAACAACCAGTTGGCTTAGATGTTGTAGAGATAGGTTAAACAACAGACAAATTATTAAACAAGTGGATCTTCCTTACTTTGAGGTTCCATCTCCCTAAGGATGTGAGACAAAGGTTTTCTTTTCCACTGATGCCCATATTGAGTAAAATTTAAAAATGTAAATGTCCTGATGAATATTTTGGGCTTCCTGTAATTTCTAGTTTTTGTATTACCTTATTCATTTCCAAATTTTGTACTTCATCTAGTCTAGAGTTTTGTCAACAAGAAAACTTTCAAAGCCAGCATGGTGGCACAGGCCTTCTAATTCCAGCACACTGGAAAGCTGGAGCAGGAGGATCACAATTTCAAGCCCAGCCTGGGCAACTTAGTGATCAGGACAATCCTGTCTAAAAAAACAAAGCAAAGAAATGAACAAAAAACTGTGCATGTAACTTAAAGAAGAGACCCTGGGTTCAAACTCTAGAACCACAAGAGGGAAAAAGCGAGAGGAGAGAAGAAAATAGAGACAGAAACATATGATTTCATTTCTTATCAATCTTGTAATTAGCTCCTATTAATCTTTATGATCATTTAATTGGCTTAACTGAAACCTCTCCAGTTTTGTTTCTAGATTTATACTAATTAGAACCAAACTTTTGATAGATCCTGCCAAGAATAGCAGTGTTATCTATGTCTTATGACTATATATGTCTTACAGTGATTTTCTTATACAAAGTAGTGACCTCTGTAAGTATGCCCTATGGGGGTCTCTCATTTCAAAAGGTATCCTCTGGTCTCCCTCACTCTAGCATTCTACTTTTTATGAATAAACCTATAAGTGTCTCACCCTAATTAATAATTCTATCTTAAACTCTCTAGTTTAAGGTTATTTGAAAAAGCTGTAAAGCAAAAAAAAAAATATGCTTTTTCATTATAGGCTGAGACCAGAATTAGGATCAATAGAGACCTTATAAAGGAAGAGCTATTGACTTAACATGGGCAAGAATATTTTAATAAAGTTTCTAATGCTCATGCTGGGGAGATAGCTCAGCAGCATAAGTGCCTGCCTGGCAAGCACAAGGTTCCAAGTATGATCCCTGGTGCCACAAAAAACAAAACAAAAAACTCAAGGTGATGGGTGTGTGTGTGTGCGCGCGCGCGTGTGTGCATAGCCATAAGCCCACACCAAGTCACTACCTCCTCCATCCCCAAATGAGCAAAAGTTTTAATGCTCAAACAGACTCTTCCATAGAGTGATTACAAACCCCATCATTAGAAGATTGATGAAGATCATTAGTGATGTGTTCAGCAGATGTTTACTGATTGTACCAGGTACATTTTGAACAAGTGATCCTCTTCCTCATGAAACTTGTGGTCTATTGGGAGTTGATGGCAAAACAAAGACATGAACACACAAAGGAATATATAAAATGTGATACATTCTATAAAGGAAAACCATAAAGGGCTATAAGAAACCTGCTAAATTTAGATCAGATGATAAAAAGCTGTTTTGAAAAAATGATACATAAGTCACAGCCATAAAAAATGATTTAGGTTAGGGAACAATGTAAAGGAAGAAAATTCCTGAAATTTAGAGTAAAACATATTTCTCACCTTTGCTACTTTCCTTGCTTTAAGGAAATTACTTAACATCTCTAAATACTAGTTTTCTCAGTAGGAAAAGAATGAAAATAACTACCTTGTGTAATTTCTTATTAAACGTGATAATGCACGTAAAGGACTCGACAAAATGCCAGTCACAGAGTAAACACAACAGCTACTGCTGTGGGATAGAGGTCATTGTGGTAGGAGACAGTCCTAAGTGGGAAAGCATTTAGTTGTTTAGAGGAACAGAGAATAAGCCAACTTGAAGACCATAGTAAACAGTGGGAAAAGCTGACTGAGGTGCTACTAGTCAGGAGGTAGTAGCCAATAATCTGGGCCATTATTTTTTACTTGATCCTAGAGTCAATGAAAAATTGCTAAGTATTCTACGTAAGCCACTACCATGATGTAATTTATGTTGTAAGATTATTCTGGTCACAACAGATTGAGAAGTTTAGAACACACCTGAAAGGAGCAGAAATAGAAGATAAATTTAGAAAGTTATTGCAGTAGTTTAAATAAGAGAAATGACTTGGAACAGGATTATGGCACTAGCAATAAAAAATATAGTTGTATTTCATATATATTCATTTGAGATGATAAATTAGGTGGATGTTGACTGGAAAGAAAGGGTTTTAGCTAGTCCTTACCATACAGTAGACCTTTGATAATCAAACTATTTATTTGTCAAGAATATTCTGTTGCATATGGCATTTAAGGATATTTTCAATTTTAGGAATCCTTGATATTTTTCTAAGAATGCTAATATTTCTAGTCTCCCTCTTGTCTATTAATTTAGCTTCTTTTCTCTAGCCCTTTTCTAGTTGTAATATACCTTTTTGAAACTGGAACAAGCAAAACTAGACTAGCTGTTTTAGAGACAATGACTTCATTGCTTTTTCTCTGGGTGATAATGATCTTTATTATGTTTTCTTTATTGGTAGTGATACTAAAAACCATCATTGTCCAATAATAGGAAACTGAAGATATCTTGGAAGCAACAATGATGCCTCAAATGCTCAAATAGACTGTTATTTTAAATATAAAATGTGGATTATTTTCACAAAGTGTTCATGATTACGTTGAGTTTTGGTTCCCATATTTCTGTCCACTTGATACTCACCATTGTTCTATAGTTGACTACATTGATTAATCTCTTCAACTATGACCCAACTGATTTGATTTTACCTCATTTATTCCTTGATTTACCTATTCAGCAATATTTCTTGAGTCATATACCATGTCTTCCCTGCTTTACTTCCTCCCAATTGGTGTTCTCATGTAAATGATATGCAAAATGACACATCATTTGAAAGATAAAAAGATAAAGAAAGGGGGCCAGGAGGATAGCTCAGTAGAAAAAAGATAAGGAAAGGCCACAGATCATCATTAAAACCTAGTAGTGGACTTTTATTATGAAATCTGTATAATTAAAAAACTTTCTGATGGTTGATTCAAAGCTGGACTACAGTAGTTTATTGAAAATTTAAAAAGGATATGAAATCTGAAAGAAACATAAAAAAGAAAGAAATCTATTTATTGAAAACCTACTATTTCATTGAACAGTGAGCTGACCTTATTGAGTAAGTATTCTTATTGTTATTCAATAAATGAGGAGACTGAAATTTATTGGAGTTATATAATGCCCAAATTCCTACAGCTAGAAAGCTGCAGATCTGGATTTCAGATTCAGGATTTCATTATCCAATTCCAAGGCTCTCTTCCACGTAACAGATAATCTTCAATTTGTTCTGCCATTAAATAGAACCTTGAAGTGCAACCTTGGGGATTGATGGTTAGGAAGATTTGATTTAAAGATCAGATAGATTTGAAAAATGGGCACAATAAAGGTTTACTCAGTAATGTCTGGAGC